TGTATTTATTTACAATAGATGTCTATATTGATATTTCTGTAATTGTCCTTATTTCCCTTTTTGTTGTTTTTAAGTCCCTCATGACACTATCTATGTTGTTGGCTGCTTTGAAAACGGGACAAGTCAAGTACAATTTGAATTTGATGCTGAGGAGATGTTGTACATGGATTTTGACAACCTGAGATTCCAGGCCTGTTGTGTCTTATTCAAGAATGACAAAAATAAAGAGGTTAATTCTGGAAAATGTATAAAGCTCAAATAAAATGTCCTTCACATGCACAAAGAAGCAATACAGTGTAATAGATGTGGTATCATTTGCCAGATTATATTTCACTTTAGAGACTATGTTACTGTTGAAAAACGATACAGCAGTCTTCCTGTAAAAAACACACATGTTGAAATCATTAACACATAATATAAAGGGTATGATCAGTGGCTAACAGCTAACTTTAAATCGGTATATGTATATATGATGTTACTGAATGTCAACAAGTGGACTCCATTTATTCGTTAAATGGTCTGAATGAAGCTTTGAGTTTAAGTTCTTTATAATTCATTTATTGCCATCTTTGTAATAGCATTGTTTATTCAAACGTTACTGTGTAACATGCTGTCTATAGAGTGCACTGCTATCTGTAACTTTGATATACACTAACAATATTATTGAAGTTTAAATAACACGCCTACTTTTAAAAAATGTAATCAGGTAATCCTTTTGAGATCTCTTTGTGAGCACCATGAATACAGAGGGAAGTATGTGAAGTGATACTTGGGCTGTTTTGCAGAAAACCTTTTAAGTATTTAACATTTTGAAAACGTTTTTCTCTTTTTTGTTGCTTTTGAGTGCCGCCCTATTACTCCATCGTCAAAAACAGACATGATGGTTCTCTGTAATCGTTGTCTCTTCAGTAAAAAACTGTTACATTTCTCCAGTTTTATACTTCAGTACAACTTCAAGTACAACATTTCACAGGCAAATATTGTAATCTTGACTCCACTATATTTATCCAACAGCCTTGGATAGTGTTTACTATACGGTTACATTTCACCAACAAAAACAGTATTTAGTTTAAACTAACCTTCTCCTTCCCCAAGGACAAAATCTAAATGTGTTGCACTTTAATTCATATAAATATAATCACTCTTCTTTACTTGCTTTTGCTTTTAGTTGGAGATCCTTTTACATCCCGATTTTAACTCCTCATTTCTCAGGTTTCACCATTCTTCCTTTCACTGAATATTTCTTCTGCTGTTTTATTCAAGAGCTGTTAAGCAACATTACGATACAAACCGTCATTTATCTTTTAAGTTTGTGTTTAAAAACAGAACAATGGTAAGACAGACAGAGCCAACCCATTGCTAACGTACAATGAGAACCCATAGCTTATTATTGAAGTGACAAAGAAAAGGACATAAATTAATGCAGATTTCTACATTTTTTTAAATATTGTTTGCTTCATTTTATAGGTGCCCTTTTTGGTCCTAGTGCCATCTACTTTACTTCTACTAAAATCATTTGTTTTATGTGTTTATGCTTTGTCAGATTGCATTATCATGCCTTTTTCCTAATGTAGTTTTCCAGATGTTTTTGAGTAAACATTTAAGACTAAATGAACATCAGGAATACTTATACAGTAAATGTATGTATGTATGTATTTATATACACATATACAACATACTTACTTGTTTTTATATTCTATATAGAGTGAGAATCACAACCTGACAAATTCCAAGGGCCTCCCTCCAGCCAAACAAGATAGTCTATGTCAGCTTTAAAATAACAAGGAGCCTCTCTATCCAGAATTCCTGTTTCATTTACCTCTAATCCCTTTAATCATTAGTGTGTGCATTTATCAACATGCTACAAAACAGGCAGCCTCCCCCTCCTGCTCCCTTTTAAACACCTTCAGCGCCACCTGCAGCCCAATATTGGAGATTTCTTAAAACTTCTTGTGACATATGAAGAATAAAAACCTGCCAGAGAAATATAGTAATACAATCATCTTGCCTGTTTATGTAATTCACTGTCAGGTTGCATTCTTCTGCCTTTTCTTTATTGGAAAACATCAAAGAAGGAATATACATTCCCTGTATGATACGAATAGAACATTTTGGACCCATTGTTAGTATGTCTATAACTGAAGTAATCATTTATATACACCACCTAGCCTTATTAGCAAAACAACGTTACCCATACAAATGATTTCTACGGTGTTGTGAATCACAGCATTATGTGATTTTATTATATCCAAGCTATTTGTACTGCTTATACACTGTCATCCAAAACCTATGCCACGTTTTAAGGACCTCCTCCCTGCCAAACAGGTTAGTCTGCTGTTTCCCGTCAACATTAAAATAATAAGGAACCTCTATAACCAGTGCTTCCTATTGCTTCCGAATTCATTTATGCATGTTTAAACAAGGATTCAATTTCAATCTTCCATTTCTTTATTTTGCACACAATCTCTTCATCTGTGAAGTTTAGACTGAGAGTTGCAATGATGAAGATCTGCAGCCAAGACGTGAAGCGCTCAGCTCTCATACTCCTGATGATCAACAGCTTCTGTGCCTTTTCACAAAGTAAGAATGAGTTTCAGACTTATTACTTTATTATATTGCTCACTTCTGTAGAGAATGCAAGAAAGACAGACACAAACCAAATGCTGTATTTATTTACAATAGATGTCTATATCGATATTTCTGTAATTGTCCTTATTTCCCTTTTTGTTGTTTTTCAGTTCCTCATGACATTAACTATGTTGTTGGCTGCTTTGAAAACGGGACAAGTCAAGTACAATATGAATTTGATTCTGAGGAGATGTTGTACATGGATTTTGACAAATCCGATATAGTTTACACTGTGCCCGGAATCTTTGTGGATGATCCAAGCACAATGTTTGATCATATGAATGTATTCACTAATGCTAATAAAGGCAAGAAGCTGTGTTTAGCATTGATTCAATACTTAAAATTGGAGGAGAAAAATCCCCCAGAAGAAAAAGGTAAATTAATCTCAACATTTGTCTCTGTAGTGACATGATTGTTTAGATTCTGAGGAAGGTTTTAAACTATCTTTTGACCCCTACAGACCCCCCTGAGAGCGTCCTCTACCCTGCAGAAGAAGTTGAGATTGGACGTGAAAACAGCCTCATCTGCTTTGTGAATAATTTCTTCCCACCTGAGGTCAGGGTCAGGTGGACCAGGAATGGTGTTCAGGTGTCAGAGGGGGTGTCACTCAGCCGATATTTCCCCAATAAAGATCAAACCTTCCACCAGTTTTCTACCCTGACGTTCACACCGAGGGAGGGGGACATTTACAGCTGCACTGTGGAGCACTCAGCCCTGGACATGCCTCAAACAACGATCTGGGGTGATTGAATTATCTGATGAAGCCACTTAAATATCAAAACAATACAATTATTTGCTATGAAATACTTATTTGTGTCTATAACGATACATTTTATGTCACGCACCCCTACAGAACCTGACATCAGTCATCGCAGTCTGGGAGCAGATGTTTACTGTGGAGTGGGCCTCACTCTGGGCTTGTTGGGAGTCGCAGCCGGAACATTTCTAATGGTTAAGGGACACCATTGACACTAATTTCTCTGCTTTAGAGAGATTACACATAAAATTATGATTGCACATACTGCACATTACATACACACGATAATCTAGGAGTGTAGCATGTCCTGCTTTAAAATTTCCTCAACACATACAAAGAAGCAATAGAGTTCATGAACTGTGGGTGTCATTTACACATTTTAATACACTGTACATATGCCAGAATATATTTAAGAAGAGAGACTTTCTCACTTTTGAAAGGTGATACAACAGACTTCCTCATACTGAATTCATGAGCAATAAGAGAAAGCCTCTCTTTGTCTGGTATGACCAATAGCTGTTGTTGTTGGCCAACAACACACTTTAAATAGAGAGATGTATGTGTACATGATATCACTGAATGTCAACAAGTGTTTTTGTTGTTGTTTCAGATTCAAAACAAGCTGCTGGTCTGAATAAGTTAAATTTCTTTATAATTCATTTATTGTTTTTTCCCTTTTTGCCTTCTTATTACATTGTTGGTTATTCAAACATGTGACATGCTGTCAGTATGGTTACCTGCTGTTTGTAACTTTAAGAAGAAGATATTTATTTTCTCTAATAAAACAAAAACATTGTGATAAACTGCATTAAGTTGTTTTGAGGTGCATTAATAAAAAAATGGTGTGAACTGATACAACTTTAAGTGCTACATTTCAGAGGCAAATATTGCCTACTGTTTACTCCACATTCTGACGGTAACATTTCACTGACACAAAAACAATATGCAAGGTTTAAAGGTAGTTTAAACTAAGATTAAAGCTCATTCTCCCCCAGATACATCATTTAAGATTAACATGAACCTCTATGGATCAGCCTTGGGGGAAATTCAGATTTCTACTGTTTTACTATATTTTTTTAAATACACACACACAGTACAAATACACACATGCATTACAATACAGGTAAAGGTGCACACATGCACATGCATTATAGAGAGGTGCCAGAGTGAAGAGGCTACATTCAAGTTTGTTATTCTGAAACAGACTTGTGTGACATAAAAATGCCATTTCAATGCGTCACACAGCCTTTGTACCACACCTGTTTAAAAAAAATGTGGTCGAGCAGTCTGCCTAACTTCCGCATGTTTTAGTTCTACATTGATACCCGTCGGCTCTTACATTTTCATTTCTCTAAACATGGGTATGAAGTGCTCGTTTTCACTGCTGTTTCTGATCCTTTTTTTTTCAAGAGCTGGTGAGTTACATTAAAATAGCTGACATTTACTTTTCTAGTTGCTACAACATACAGTACATTAACATCTGTGGCATATCATTGGAGTGTGCAATGCTTTATTCTACATTTTAGTAATACTTGTTGGCTTTGTCTTACAGATGCTCTTTTTGGTCATGCTCTGCTCCACTGCCAGTTTACTTCCCCTGATGACTTTCTTTATTTGGAACAAATTTTCTTCAATAAAGTGCTACAAATCCAATACAACAGCACTTTAGGGAAGTATACCGGCTACACAGAGAAAACAAAAGAGATTGCAGAAGGCCTCAACAAAAATCCCAAATTTATAAAAGAAGAAAAAAAAAATGAACTGAAATGCAAGAACAACATCGCATTGATTTTTGATGTCTTTTTAAAACCAGGTGATTGCATGTATTGAAACTAATGCTTTAAATTACATATTGCATAATTATTTCGTAATTATGGGGTTTAAGTAACAGACTTTTAATCATATTTCTGTGAAAAGTGTGCATAGAAAATACTAAATATACCCACTGTAATATTTTGTTTTAACCTAAATATATCCAGAGAATTACTTGTGCAAACATTGAAGAGTTGTTGTTTCATGCCAATTTGTTTCGTCTATTGACCTCCATTTGGAGCCCTCTGTCAGGGTGAGGTCAGTGCAAGCAGCGGGCAGCCGACACCCAGGCATGCTCGTCTGCAGTGTGCACTACTTCTTTCCCAAACCAATCCGAGTGACTTGGCTGAGGAACGGAAAGGAGGTGACATCTGATGTGACGTCCACTGAGAAACTGTCCAATGGGGATTGGCATTATCAGATCCACTCCTACCTGGAGTTTACACCTGTACCTGGAGAGAAAATCACCTGCATGGTGGAGCACGCCCACCTCATGAAGCCCAAGCTTTGCGAGTGGGGTAGGAAAAGTGACAGCTTGTTTTGAGTTCAATGTTACTAAGCCACATTTGTATTGATTAGAGTTATAGTATAATTTGTGCTAAATGTGTTTTCAGATCCGAGAACTGATCGAGAGTCAGAGAATAACAAGATTGCTGTCGGGACAGCGGGGCTGCTGCTGGGTCTGGTGTTTTTTGTTGCTGGGCTGATTTACTACAAGAAGAAAACTTATGGTGAGAGACACATAAACTTTACCAAATTCTACCATCTTATCTCAAGACTATCAAGACACAAACATACAGTCTGTCACAAACTTTCTGGTTTCCTGTTTTATTTTGGTCACCCCCTGTGTTAGGCTACGTTTTTTTTTTCTGCTTGTCCCTGTGTTTTCCCTCCTGTTTGATTACCTTTCTGTTTTGCCTTCCCTCTTGTGTCCTGTCCTTGGGATTAGTCTTGTATGTATTTAAGGTCTGGTTTTTTGTCAGTTGTTGTCAGATCCTGTTCATTGTTCAATGGGGAGGTTTGTTCTGTTTTTGTATTTAGAGATTTTCAACTTATTTTTTTGTGTCTTACCCTGCTCAGCCTGATTACCTGAAATTAAAGTTTTTTTGCTGTTCAAACCTTGTGCGTCCTGCTTTTGGGTCCACCTTGCTCTGCTTTCAATCGTGACAGTCTGCTTTTGATGAAACTGTTTAAAGATCATTGTTGTCTGAAGTCATAAACTCTCTGTTAATAATATTGTCAAAATATTTATTGTTTCATTCTTTAGATAACAAAAAGCAACACGACCAGTGATTTCTTTCTAAAAGATCAGTTAAAGGAGCATTTTAAGTTTTGACATGAGCCTCTAAGGCTTTGCTTAAAACAGACTCAAACTCAAGTATGTGTGACTTTGTTTTTCTTTTTGTTTCTTATTCTAGGACGAGAGTTGGTGCCAACTAATTCTATTTAAAGCAACCTTGTATTGAACTTGGAGGAAATGTTTTCAAATCTATACTTTTACTGTTCACATTTATGTTGGCTCCTTTTAGCATGAAAAGGTTTGAATAAACCCTGAAATAAGGAGTTCAGGTGATGAGCGAAAAGAATGTGAAAAGACAGTGCATTTTTTATTTTTTATTATGAATTAAATTAAATGACATTTTCTTTTATACATAAAAAAATCTATACACAAAACTGTAGTTCTGGCTTTTACAAATGTTGTTTTGTAAGCCAAGGCATGTTAATGGGCCAGGCCACAATCTGATCTGATAACCTTTTGTACTGGATGATATACAATCAGTAATACATTGTCTGATTCATGTATGCTCTATAAATCATTTCCCCTGTGTTTTGCTTTAAAAACGAAATAAATCTTTAACCAAAAGAGAACATGTGTACTTTATTAATTCTTGAAGACAAACTTTTCCAGACATGCCTCCACGGTGGACAAAATACCAACATCTGATTGTTGGCCCTGAAGCTCAAAATACAAAATTTTGCAGAACAAACTGGCATTAAAGCCATAGATGTAAACACAAAAACATGTGAAAAATATCAGGCTCTGTTTCTATCTATGATCTCCAGCAGTGCAAAGTAATTAGTAAGTGGATTTACTCACTGTACTTAAGTATAATTCTGAAAGACTTGTATATTACTTGAGTTCAAATTGATGCTGTATTTCTACCAAACTACAATTCAGAGTTAAATCATATACTTTTACTCCATTACATTTATTAAATATATTTGGTTATTTTTGCAGAATTGTGAACATCACTTAAATAATAGGCTACTTTAGTGACACCTGCAGTATACAAAGGACTTTTATTTCTAACAGAGTATTCCTACACTCTGGCATTTCTACTTTCACGATCTGAATACTTATCCTACCTATTTTGTACGACTAACAAGCCTGTTGTCTGTAAAACAACATTCTGGGCTTAAAATCTCCACGTCACAATTCACTCTTTATGCGCATGCGCTCTGAGGAATAATGAGTCGATTTGGGATCTATTTTATTTTCATCTTCTTATTATTTAAAAGCCCGAGTTTAATCCTATTCTTGTGTTTCACCGTTTATGTTTACATTCATTATAGAACGCGATAGAAGAAAAATATGGAAAAAGAGGGTACCATTTCACGTAAAATGATGATAGCTCGTGATTGTTACATAAACTGTAGCCTACGTATCATGCTATATCTCCGGTTTCCTTTCAGTTCACACCACGTCATGGGATGTCTTGTCCTTGAGGCTGCAGTGGCGTCAGTCTAGCTACAGTGATGGACTGTGCTGTTCCCTGCTAGGAGGTCGTCCCAGAAAACATCACCAAAACACCGGAGCGGTTACGTTGCCGAGCCGCGATAAGACGCATACATGCTTGATAAGAGACTGGTATAAACACACACAGACAGAGGATGTCTGCACACAGCCTGCGCTACCGACCAGAGGGAAGCACTGCACTCAGAAACACAACTGGTAAGATTTGAAGATTTATAGGTCACTGTCTGTTTTTGCTGACTTGCAGACGTGGGAAAAGTACTTGCAAGTAAATCCTGCATTCAAAATGTTACTCAGGTAAAATAACAAAAATATTAGGATCAAAATATACTTGAAGTATCAAAAGTAAAGGTAGGCTACTTTTTATGCAAATCATACATTTCAAAATAATATATATTATATGTTTTGATTATAATTATTGATGTATTTATGTGTTACAAAGCTGGTAAAGGTGGATCTTATTTAAATGACTTTATTTACTGCAGGGTAACTTGTGAGTCTGTTTACTCCAGGTGTAACTAATGTCTTATTTAAGTGTTGATTATATATCACATCATTAATCCAAATCAGTAACTAAAAGTACACATAAATGTATTGGAGTAAAAGTGCACGATTTACCTCTGAATTGTAGTGGAGTACAAAGTAGCATAAAATGGAAAATACTCAAGTACAAGTATCTCAAAATTGTACTTAAGCACAGTAGCCTACTTGTAAAATGTACTCCCCACCTCTGCTGACTTGTTTTAACCGGTGAAATAATCAGATTATTCTTTAACTGTGTGCAGATTTAGCATATTACGTTGATAATCTACCAACTTTGCTTCCTCTACTTTTTTTCTTTCTTATTCATTCTTGCCTTCCTCACAGTGTTTGAACGTTGGCTACATTTGCGTTCTTCAGGACAACATTCAGGTAATTTATATAAAGGAGTATTTTATTTCAACGGCCAATTTATGCTCTACCTGTTATGGAAATGCAAAATTTGATACACGTTTAATGCAAAAGAAGTAAATTACAGTACAGTAGCTTACAGAATCGATTTTAAAATTATATTGTTAACTTATAAAGCATTAAATGGTTTGGGACCCCAATATATGTCTGACATGTTGCCCTGTTACGAGACCCCCAGAGCTCTGAGATAATCGGGGGCGGGCTTACTCATTGTTCCCCGGCTCAGAACCAAACACGCCGAAGCTGCTTTTAGTTTTTATGCTCCCCACAAATGGAATGAACTTACAGAAAACCTGAGGTCTTCACCAACGCTGAGTTATTTTAAGTCGAGGCTAAAAACACTACTTTTTACAGCTGCTTACCCAGAAGCCTTTTAACTTGTTTTAGCACTTACCGTATTTACAATGTTGTTTTTAAACTATTTTATATCTCATTAATGATTAATGCATTGTTTTTATGAAACTGTTATTCCATTATGTTTATTTATTGTGTTCCTCTCTGTTCTATTATCATGTGTTAATAATCATGTAAAGCAGAGTATCTATTGAACAAACTTTTCATGAGCTCAGCACAAGGGCCCTGTTTTCAGCTTTGTGATGATTCATTTTCCAGCTGATCCCTGGAAAAACTGTAATCTAAAAAGTTGTTTGATACATTTAGTGTAACTAGGCTAACAAGTACAGTATTGACCTCTAAGATGTAGTGGAGAAAAAGTATAAAGTTGCACAAAAGGCACATACTGAAGTAAAGTACAAGTACCTAGGATGTGTGCTAAAGTACTTAATTTCCTCATTTACATTTTCTCAGTTAATGTACTATTTATAATCCACCATTATACGGCTACAAGGTGAATAACATTTATCATTTAGGAACATGGAGCTTTCATTTTTCTAGGCACTTACCCAAAAACAAACTGTTAACTGAACTAAGTAAATAATTGTTTCCAGTGTTTAAACTACATTTTGTTTCTGTCTGTCTCCTCCACAGCTCTTCTCTGAGGCTGTTTGTACCGATGGGTGTCTCACTGTCAGTGTGGCTGTACAGCAGGGCAGACGACAGCCCTCCCTCCTCCTCATCAGCTTTCCCTCCACTGGCTGTCTCCATATCCTCTCGCCTCGCCGTCACTCTGAACTCCTCTCCAATTGCTCCAGGAGACAGCCGCTCACGCTGGAGCTCAACCCACTGCTCTCCTTCCTTCCTGCTGTCTGGCTGCAAACAGGAAGTGACACGTTCACCTGTTGAGCTGAGTACTGACGGGGTGAGGGCGGAGATGGGGGTGAAAAGTGGGCTTCATGTCTGGGAAGTGCTGTGGAGTCCCAACCAGAGAGGGAGTCATGCTGTCATCGGCATCTCCAGGCAGAGCTGCCCTCTGAGGGCCCCGGGGTACGACGTGCTGATTGGCCGGGATCCACAGTCCTGGGGCTGGGAACTCAAAACCAATCAGCTCTGGCATGCTGGACAGAGTCTGGACCTCTACCCAGGGAAGAGGAGGTGGTACCACCCTGAGGCCGTGGGGGATTTTAGGACAATGTCTTCCACTTCGTCACACAAAAAGATGGCACAGACTCTTCTACCCATCCCTGAGCGTGTCCTGCTGGTGCTTGACGCCGATGCAGGGACTCTGGGATTTGTTGTTGATGGCAGCTTCCTCGGCGAAGCTTTCAAAGACCTTCCTCGTGGAGTGGAGCTGTTTCCAGCCGTGAGCAGCGTGAGAGGTGGAGCCAGAATACGACTACGATACCTGAACGGTGCCACACGTGAGTAGCGCAGCTTTCAGCTTAACTCTATTAGCCATTAGTTAGAACATTTTTTATGAAAATAAGATGTAGGATAAAATGGTATGACACAACATACATATATGAAAAAGAGGAATGTGTTTAAAAGTAGGATTAGTGACAACATCTATCCAACATTGTAGCATAAAAATAAGGATAAGGAAAAGGTGTGTGTGTGTGTGTGTGTGTGTGCGTGCGTGCGTGCGTGTGTGTGATGATTATAGAATACAACAGTATTGCACATTGGATAAGTAGCCGAAGTTATGTTGATGCATTCTTATGTAAGCAGTGCAGACAAGTTTCAATTTACAAAGATCTGCTTTAATTAGAGCTTTAAACAAAACACCTAAACTACTTTTTTTTGCTCTCTCTTTCCCAGGTGATCCCCCTGCTCTGATGGCTTTATGTGGACTGTCAATTCGTCAGTATTTAGGGCAAAAGAGGCATAATGAAATGGACAAACTTCCTCTTCCGCCTCGTCTCCAGCACTACCTGCTTTCTAATCAATAATGTATACTTGTACATGAACAAACACAAACAATATGAAACATTTAGTCAGTCACTTTAATGTTCCAAATATGTATTGTATTGTAAAGTGCGTACTCGTATTACAGCCAGACAAACGTATTTATTATTTATTTTTATTTATTATAATTTAATATATTGTGAGGATTTTCTTGCAGGTGTTACTTTTTCATATAAAAATAAATGTGGCATTGTCATTCTCATAATTGCTTTTTTACAGTTTCAATCCTTTTCCATTTTGTGTTGTTTTGTGGTACGGAATTGTCCCTCTTTTATAAAAAATCAATCACATTCAGTAATAATAAGAAATCGTTATTGTTATTATGAAGAAACTGCAGTAATGAGGGTCCAAAAAACATTAAGCGACCGAAAACCTTCCCCTTCATTAATCATGAATATAATTCTGCTTTCACTGACTGAAAACCTGCCTGGTGGATCATACAGGTGGAAGAGATGATAGAAAATGGTACTGATAATATAATTGTATCGACGCCAGTACATTTGAGACACATCAAACACACTAATGATGCTCGATGATAGTTGATTATTTTATTCACTGTTAAAGGTCCCATGACATGCTTTTCCGATTATTACCCGTCCCCTTGTGTGTTATGTAGCTTTTTCTGCATGTAAATGGTCTGCAGAGTCACAAACCCTCAAAGTACACTGTAGCGAGTAAAACTCTTAACACAGAAAACACATGTCTATGCTGCCCCAGAACGCCTCGTTGGAGATTTCTCTTTTTCCATTGTTTTCTTCCTGGGTTCAGTGACGTAACGGTCATAGTGACGTCACACATGCACTCACCCAGCCTTATCTTTTCTCAGCCGCGGCTCCGCGGATCTCCGCAGGCTGTGAGTGTGTGTGCTCAGGCTGAGTTCCGTGGTGCCTCGCTGTCTCGTAGACCCCACGCAGCAACCAGGAAACGCCACCAGTAATCCAGCTCACACTGTCCGCTCCTCGAGCCTCAAGGGGCGGAGCAGCGAGCCTGGCAACACGGCACCTAGACCCCACGCAGCATTCTCATCTGTTTGTCATTACTGGTCATTTTCTGGTTGCTAACAAACGCCATTGTAAGTTTAGAATTTCACATAAACACTGGGAATGGCCATGTCATGGGACCTTTAACTTACAAACAAAACCATGAAAATCTTAAATTTCTGAATTAATATACAAAAGCCTGACAGCCAGCTCAGCTGCTACGTTGCCCATAAATATAAATATACTTTTTTATTTATAACATTACATTTTATTTAGCTGATGCTTTTGTCCAAAGCGACTCACAAACATTAAATCCAATGATATATATTTTCTTTTCTTTTATTAACAGCTAGGTTTAAGAAAGTTAATTGTTTAACTCAGCAATGGTAAATGTTAAGTAAAGGTATCACTAAAGTATATAGCCTACTTCTAAAATATAACATTTCCCAAATTAAAATAAAAACATACAAATGTAGCTTAGCACAAGTTCAATCAGGAAGACAACATTATCGGGTGCCACACGTTATCTCAGTGATCAGGGGCATCACGCCCCGGCTAGCCAATCATCGCACCTGCTAACCCCTTTAAATCTGCTCTCCCCTCCCCGTCAGTTGTCATTTCAGGTGTCAACGCACAACCCTCCTCCACCCCTTCGCCTCCTGTCTCCTAATACAGGGCCAAGCTGAAACCTTCTCCCTTCAGATCGGACGAACTACTATCACCACCACCAGTGTCTAGACCCCGGGGCGTTCATCAGAGCGGTTCTTTCCCTCCTGAATGATCATCCTGCAAACCCGGGGCCTAATCGCCAAAACATCATTACAGTTACTTGTTGTAATCACTATTCCCTCATGTCATGTGTCCCGATAATAAACATGTATTTCATACATCACGTCTCTCCTGATTGAAATATCTTCATAGCCTTTTTTTCTAACCCAATTCAAAATAAATTGTCTCATATTGTTTAATAGAAAATAACAAAACATCAAACAGTTATTCTCAATACATTTAAATCAGTGATATGGGGTAATGTTGTCATGAGAACAGGCCAGGGGAACAACACACGCGCACAAAAAAAGCGTACGCGCCAAAGTGCGTACATGAAGGTAAGCTGAGTTAAGCTAGCTAGGAATCTAACAAACAATCACCACACAAAGTACTTTTTCAACTGTTTAATTATAAGTCGATACCTATAGCCTGTTATCTTTACTATGAAAAGTCATAACCCGACCTGTTAGTAAATGTTGGCTAACTGATACAGAGTCTGCTTTTATGGTAGTTCACTTTAGTTAGTTAAGTAGCTCGCCTAGCTAACTCCACTTTGTTTGCTAAACAATTAACCTGGATGCTAGCTTTCTAACTAGCTAATGTTTTAGTTTTTCGAGCATTACATTTAAACATTGTGTTGGTTTAGTGGTACTTTAATGTACTTTAATGAAGTAAACATAGTTGGTACTTGTACTTTTAGGAACGTTATTCACATTTACTGCTTTTACTCCACCACAACTCAGGGACATATTGTGCCTATCACTTCATTTACTCGATACTTAAGTTACTAGTTACCTTGCAGTTACTTTTCAAAAATACAATATATTATTATTGTTATTATTAATACTAAATATATTATTGCATCAATTAGGCTTTACTGGCACAAAGGGGAACATTCACAGCAGTAAGTACATTAATATGTAAAATGCTTTACTCCAAATGAACTCCACCTATAAAACCAGCTGCATCATTAGAGCACTGGAAACATTCAAGTGTTAATAATTATAATTCAATAATATATTACGTACTTTGAAATGGGCCAATCTGTACAAATGACTAAGTATAAATGTATTCTTATACTTTTGTGCTCTTACGTAAGCACATTTTCAGTTAAAGACTATCAATTGTAACCACTTACTGTTATGCAGTAGTATATCACTAAAGTAACACAATTAAGTACTTCGGGCCCACTATTAGAAAGTCAACTTATTAAAAACATGAAATGATTACCTTGTTTTGATGTTTCATATCTAGAACTGACTGATCATGGCAGCAATAGAAAGTCTGAGAGGAGGTGGAGGAGGGTTCATTTTTGGTCAACCAGGCATACATGGAGTTGAAGAAGAGGAGGAAGACTCACCTGCGGTAAGTTCAGAAGTCACTTTAATACATTTGAATGCAACAACAAGTTACCCCAAGTTTCACTAAGTGAAATATGAACACAAGGAATATCTTAAGACTCGCAAACTTACAACACTAAGAAAATGCCAGTCAATTTTTACAGTGAACTCTTTAAAGAAGAACAAAATTTACAACAGTTACTGTATCTTAATTCTATTTATTTTTATATTATTTTATTATTTTAATACACGTTTTAGTTTTTTTGTACATCTATGTTTTTTTAATAAACACTTGGAAGGAAGATAGATTTTTGCAGCAGATGCACATTCATGTATTTGTTATTTTGCAGATTTTACTGAGTGTTGTATCCCAGCATGGACAGATTGGCCTCTGCTTCTTTGACAGTAAGGACTCCACTTTAAACTACATGAGAGACACTCCTGACAACCATGAGCTCCACCTGCTGGCCAGAGGTAAACAAAACACTGCCTGTTACATAATCTCAGTCTCTACCCTATATAAGATTACATTTCTATTTTCTATGTAATTTCATTATCTCAGAGATGACAATTATGTGTGATCTGACACTTGTGCTTGCCTTACTATACTTATTGTATCTCCTCTTTTCCCTGTTTAGTCATCCAGGAGGTTAGTCCTCATGTAATAATTACCAGTGCAAAGCAGGAGCGCTGCATGACACGGTTCTTGCAACAACTTGGTGAGCTCCGAGAGACAAACATCTAAGTATAGGGCGGGCAAATGAGAAAAATGTCTGTCAGATTTTTGTTTTGACATGGTGCGAGACTAGAAGTTTCTAGGTCAAGGGGAATACAATTAGATTAAGGATGCTTGGCACTGCAGAAAGATAGTGTGATAAGGGAGAAGAGTGATTGTATAACTAGTATACATAGCTCTGAAATGCTTTTACTGAGACTTCAGTGAAACAATATTGTCATGTGAAACCACTGCTTTGTAACATTCATTTCATAAAACATGCTGTTTTCTTTTTCAAACTGTCTCCTGTTGTATCCCAGGTTCAAACCCGGACTACAAACCTGAGGTGGTTACTTATCCATATGTTGATTTCGGTAAACAGTCTCCCACCTATAATATTTTGTATCAATCTTAGGCAGGATCTTCTTTATTCATGATTTCCACAATGAACAGATTATGAGTCCATATTGAATGTTGCAGGTCTGGAGGTGGGAAAGCAGAGACTTCTTTCTGCCCATCTGCCTTTCCTTCCTGCCTCCACTTCAGAGAGAGACAAAATGTCTTACCTCTCGTCTTGTATCTCCTTTGACTCTCCCCTGATGGTGAGTCAGCTTTCTACATGTCATCCTATTCATTTTGTCCATCGATGTGAAGGAGCTGATCACGAACTGTCCATCATTATTGTGTGTGTGTGTGTGTGTGTGTGTGTGTGTGTGTGTGTGTGTGTGTGTGTGTGTGTGTGTGTGTGTGTGTGTGTGTGTGTGTGCGTGTGTGTGTCTGTGCGCGCATCCGCATCCGTTGTGAAGCTGAGGGCAGTGGGCGCTCTGTTGAAATGTCTGGACAGGAGGAGAGTGGGAGTGGAGCTGGAAGACAGCAGTGTTGGAGTTCCTATCCTGCAGTTCAACGCCTACACGCTGTAAGACACATAATAATGTAGCTTTGCACGCACACACACACACACACACACACACACACACACACACACACACACACACGGGACTGTGGTCACACATTATCTGTAACGAGGACCTTTATACGTTTTGTCAATGAGAAGTGTTTTTCACTGCTCTCCTTTAAGCCTCACAGGTTTTGTTTATTGGTGGCATGCATTTGTGCCATTGCGTTTTATATTACATTTACATTACGTTTTCTCTATACTCTCTACAGTTAGACCAAATTGGTCTTGTGTGATGCAGAAGTTTTTATTAATGAAAAATAATACTTCTCTAAAATGTGCATTGTTTCTTCCAAATATAGTAAAGGTGTTGTTTGCATTGACCGAGACACCTACAGGTAAGAGTGCTCTCTATTACAAAGAGGTTCTTTATTAAATATACAGTGTGTCCCTGAAAGCTGATGCTGATTGACTAAATATTCCATTCATTGTTTGTTGTTCCATACCTCAAACCTACTGTGCAGCTGTTTAGTATACTGTATGTGTGTCTAGTGTGTTGAGTGTAGCTGTGCACTTTGTATTTGCTTCAGTGTACTGCAGATCTTCAAATCAGAGCTTCACCCATCAGTGTACAAGCTGCATTCAGGTGAAAAGGAAGGACTCAGTCTTTATGGTGCGTCGCCTCAATGGTACCCATTACAGTAAAACATTATTTATGTCTGATTGTTTTACATTAACTTAACTGCTTTATGGTGTGTTGCAGGGATTCTGAACCGCTGCAGGTGCAAATTTGGCTCCAAACTGCTACGGTGGGAAACACAAGACACAACACAACAAATAAAAGCTGTCTTTATTTCATTTTAAAGACAATAAAAGGCTTTAATTAGAGAATTGCTGTTATTTCCTTCATTAGGTATTCAGTATGAAGTTAAACAAAGTGTTACCATTATGTTGTATAACAGTGATGCAAAATGTATGCCGTTGATCTGGAAGATGCTGCGGTCATGAAAATGTCAAGGTTTACATACTACTGCTTGTATCTATGGCAACACGATAAATGTTCCAGCTTTCCCGCCATCATGCTTTATCTCTATTGATAGAGTACAAGCTGTGTTTATTATGGGAATATACATTTATACAATTCTGGCCCGTTTCTTTACATACATACCCATTATTTTTTCATATTTTTTGATATACAAATCTGGGTTTCTGTGTTTGTTGTGACAGAAAAATACTACTATAAGTTTGCTCATGCGTACTTTTGATTTATTAATATCAAGGTTCAAGGCTTTTATTGGTCATACGTACATAGCTACAGTGTAGTTATGACGATGAAAATCTTAGGTCACAGGCTCCTCCAACAGTGCAACACAATAAAACAGAAAAACATTAAAAGAAATAGTGCAAGTAAATACAAAAAGAAAAATAGTGAAATAGAGTCTATATACAAGTGATATACCTCAAGTGTAAGGTTTGTCCTCTTCTCTCTCAGCCAGTGGTTTATGCGGCCAACACAGGACCTGGCTGTGTTACAAAGGAGACAGGAAGTGATTCGTTTCTTCACGTCGCCCCGTAACTCCGACGCCCTGAACACCCTTCAGTCTTCGCTACGCAACATCAGAAACATACCAGTAACAACTCTCCTTGATTTCCCCCTTTTTTCTCCTTATTTGTATCCATTTATCTTTTAAAAAGCTGTGTCGCCACCTGAGAGTAGATCATATGTGTCTGCTAACCCAGTCTGTGTGTATGCTTGTGTGTGTTAGACTCTTCTGCGCAGGATGTCTCTCTCTCACACCAAAGTGACTGACTGGCAGTGTCTCTACAAGGTTGGAGCTGCAGTATTACCACATGCACCTTACGCACCATGACAGGCTTTGTTGAATGTGTGCAAAATGTTGTATTGTGTGTGTTTGTCAGACAGTGTACAACGCAGTGTGTATCAGGGACACAGTGCGACACCTGCCTCAGTCCATTCATCTCTTCCGGGATATCAGTGAAGGGTTGTCTGACGACCTCCACCATATTGCCACCCTCATCAGCCGAGTTGTGAGAGACACACATAATAATACATATCGAACAAATTATTTTGCAGAGCGGGAACTGGGGCGATAAAATTCCAATAAAATAAATTGAAATTTACAAGAATAAAGTTGAAAGATTACTAGAAAAAAACTAGGAAGAATAGTGTTTCCTTTTTGTAAAGAAACAAAAGCACTTCCCTTTGCAAGACCCAAACAACTTCATTGCATCACAGACAGCTCTCCTTTACATGCATTATGCCAGCTTAAGTGGGTGACATTGCCAAATTATTCTTTTGATAAATATAGTTGCCTATATTATACTTTTAAATTAGATTTTGAAATATTAGGGATTTTAGCCAAATATCACCATATTATCAAAAGCATCTGGACTTTGAAGAGTCTTTGCTGTGATGTGGAGCTATTCAGAAGTAAACAACATATATGATTAAATGAGGAATGATATCCCCCTCTTCTAAATGTTGCATATTCTCACTTATTTGGTATTTTCCCGGTGGGATATGTGATGTTTCCCAATCTTGCAAAGGGATGAAATGCGGTTCCTTGGAAAAAAACAACTACACTTTTTTCCAAGTTTTTTCCTTTCATCTCAGAGAATATAGACATGTTTGTTTCTCGTCAATGTAGCACAAACACTTAAAGGTAGGGTAGGTAAGAATGGAGAAGCCAGCTCGAGTGCGCTAGAATTTGAAAGTACACAACCGAAAAAAAATCTGCCCCTTCCTTCAGACTTCCTTACAGAGCCCCTCCTCCAACACACACAAACGCGCACATGACCAATGAGGGCACGAGATAAGTTTGTGCAGAGATGGAAGGCTGACAGGCAGGTAGGCCATCCAGTTATTTTAGCCGGGCCGGCTCAGATGATTGGTCGTGCTTTTTACAGCGCTACAGCTTCCACAGATGAAATTTGTTTATGTATTTGTTGTCAAAGCATTTCATATATTCATTGCTATCGGGATGTTAAGAGCATTCCATTGAATATAACAAAAAGCGTTTCTGAAGTGAATTACTTACCCCACCTTTAATGTTNTGTCAGGTTGCATTCTTCTGCCATTTCTTTATTTTGCACACAATCTCTTCCTTGGCTGCAGATCTTCATCATTGCGACTCTCAGTCTAAACTTCACAGATGAAGAGATTGTGTGCAAAATAAAGAAATGGCAGAAGAATGCAACCTGACAGAGTGAATTACATAAACAGGTATTTATTTACAGATCTTAACCTATAAATATATATCTTGTATTACTATATTTCTCTGGCAGGTTTTTTTTCTTCAAATTTCACAAGTTTTAAGAAATCCCTAATATTGGGCTGCAGGTGGCGCTGAAGATGTTTAAAAGGGAGCAGGAGGGGAGGCTGCCTGTTTTGTAGCATATTGCTAAATACACACACTAATGATTACAGGGATTAGAGGTAAATTAAACATTGTTTGAATATTTTCACTCTATATCATTGTGTAAATAAATACAGCACTAGTTTCATACTTTTCTGACATAAAATCAGACTGTGAGCTAGTTAATTATAAAACTATGAATTAATATCTTCATTGTTCATTCATGATTTTTTCTCACACTTATATTTTAACATAGCTGCATCCAACTTTGTCATTGCGAGAGGTATAATCAACAAGGTTACTGTAAAAGCTTTCTTGGAAGACTTACATTTATAAAAGGTATATTATTAGCAATATTAGTTTATATTTACATTGTGACGGGACCAACATTATACAGGCTTTTTTGGTATTTTTAAACAAAGTAAAAAAAGTTATTGTTTTTAACACTCCATTTTAATTATTATTAATTGATGCATACAGTTATATTTTGTATTTTTACAACATTTTGTCCGTTTTGGGGCTCTGTGATTTTGAAATCTCCATTTTAGCTGCACTTATACACCAAAGGCTCCAGTGTCATTCTTATTTATACTCAGGTTTGTTCACATCGATAGCATGAATTATATCTCTTTTAGTTTGAATATTTTCTGATTAATGGAGTAAAGATATTTCCACAGTTCCCTCGTTAGAAAAACCTTTTTACTATTGTCAACCAAGTGAAGCATGAATATTGAACCTGGCTTACTCCAATGTTCAGATTTCTGTTCAAATGTATGCAAATAGGCAGTTTTTAACAAGACAAAAGCTTATTTGCATGTTTTGACTTACACACTTGATATTCAACTACAATTTGCAGTGTATGCACGCACAACTTATACACGCTCTGGTACCTGCACATACAGTTTTTATTTAACCCTGCTCACCGCTTTGTGTTATTTCTATTTCTATTCATACTGTTAATACATGTTTATTCTTAATTTTTTTTTATATTTGTATTCTTAGTATGCCATTGTATATTCCATGTGTACTGTTATGACCTTGCTCAAAAGGCCACAACAAAGAGGAGACACACCATATCCACGTTTAAGAAAAAGATGTTTAAGCAAAACGTTCAAGTCAACCAAATTAATTAAGCGCAAAACAAGTAAAGTATGAGGTGTGGATGTCAGTGGTATCAGTCGTGTAAATGCAGGGTGAGGATTGTATGGACATGTATGTGTATGTGTGTGAGAGTGTCGAAGTGCACAAAGTGAAGCAACTGAAGACACTCATAGCATGCTCAACAAAACCGGGGTGCCTGCAGGGAGAAGCACAGGGAAGACAGAGAGGAGCATAGGCTTTAAATAACTGCAGGGCACCAGACCCAAGTGCCCTGAGTTGATCAAGGCAATCAAGGAGGCTGGATGCAGCACAGCCACACCCTCTCCAGATGAACCCACAGGGGCATCACAGTACTATATGTGTTTATTTCTCATTCTGTTATTGCTATGACACCTGAGTTTCCCTACGGGGATCAATAAAGGTCCATCTCACTTTAACTGGGGAAGTTTCATGGTGATAGTTGAGTTTGGACCATGGTTTGGACAAGCATGATGTAGCTACAATGCCTTTTAATCGATATAATGAAAAAATGCCATAATTTGTATTGTGTATTTATATGTAAAAATATAGTAAACCATAACAATATTTACATTGCAATACAATGGAATGAGAAGGAATACAATATGGAATAAAATCGGCAGTAATACAAAATGTTTTTTGTTTTTTTTATTATTACTGCCGATTTTTATTTCATATTTTATTCCTTCTTATTCCATTCTATATTTATTATTTAATTTTTTTTCTTCTAGCTCTCTACCTGTGTTTTTTTTTTTTTTTGCACCACCACGACACCAAGTCAAATTCCGTGTGTAAACCTACCTGGTGGTATTAATAAACCTGTTTCTGATTCTGATTTATTGATTGGCATCAATAAAGTATATCCTCTCGTGTTTAACCTTATGTTTGGCTGACAGGTGGCGCTGTTGTTCCGCAGATGTTAGCGGTGCTGCGTGTGGAAGAAGCCGCCTGTTGGTGCTGTTTACTGGGCATGAGCTCAGAGAAATGGGGCCGTCTTCCTCTCTGACCCGTCGATGAAAAAAATAAAAAAACCAGGGGATGCACAGCGGCACAGAGGAAACACGGCTTCACAGGCGAAAAAACAGGAATGCTGATGCCGCTAAACATGGGGAGTCGCCTCCTTTATGGAATAAACCGAGTGTCCGCTGATGTGTGTATGCAGTGAGTTTTTTACAAACACAAGATTTGGACTTTTTATTTAATTTTTTACACACATCTGCAACGATGCGGGCTGCGGAGCGGAGACGAGGCGCTGCGATTGTGCTCTGCATTTTGGGATACCTTGTCTCCAGAGCTGCCGCTAAAACATTACCGGAGGACCCCGCCACAGAAGGTGAACAGTGTTTTAAACATCTTGTACTTAATAATAAGCTAGGGAGTTCATGTTTTTAAGTGGCTAATGCTGCCGCTAGCCAGCTCGGATGCTGATGTGACCTAAACTTAGCTAGCATTAGCAAGTTAGCTTGTGCTAGAAAGACAGCCTGAAAACTTATCTGAAATGTTTTTTTATCCAACCTGGTTGGTGTCCTGGATAACATGAAAATCAATCTGCTGTAGTCATAATTGTGTAAAATAATTTTAAGTGACTAGTGACTAAATATAAGTCCTTATATTGTCCACAATACTGCAGCAAAGGAGTCCGGCTGCTGTGATTTGTCATTTTTAGCTTTTTGGAAAACTCTCTTTGTAAATCTATCTGGGAAGGGGGACTATCTTTGACCACTTTACCAATTATTATGAAAGGAGCAGTGGTGCAAGAAGTACTCAGATATTTTAGTAAAAATGATACAGTGTGAAAGTGAAGTAAAAGTCCTGCAACCAACATCTTACTTCATTAAAAGTACAACAGTATTGTCATCAAAATGTACTTTAAGTACCAAAAGTAAAACTACTTATTGTGCTAAATGTCCCATTTAAAAAATCATATTCAATTATCGGATTATTGTTTTGAATGCTTTTAAAGGTGTAGCTACTATTAATTAGTTAACATACTGCTGCTGGATATCTTAACCTATAAGTATATATAGTTTATTTATATATATTACATATATTCTGTCTTAGCTAATTATCCGAATCTGTAGACTAACTATTTACTAATTTTGTCAAATAACTGTAGTGGAGTAAAAAATAGAAAATTCGCTTCCAAATTGCAGTCGAGTAGAAGTATAAAGTAGCATAATAATAATAAAAATACTTAAGTAAATGTACTTCACTGCATTACACCACTGGTTAGGGGCTTGAACTGTTTTAACCTTGCATTTTGTGGAAGGTGAATGCTCTTTTGTTGTTTGTGTGTGTTGCTTTTAACCACAAGGTGACTGCCACCATCTACCTTGTTCAGGTTTCAAACAGCAAATAGAAATACCAATAAGCTCAGTCTCTACATGTATACTTAGCATTTGAGCTAGATAGTTATTGTCTTGACTAATCATGTACTTTTTGTCTGTAAAAAAAGTAAAAGATTTCTCTTTACCCAGAGCCCTATAGTTGATATTCAGATTCATTTTTTGTCAAAGTAGTATTCTTAAACTCAAAGCTAGTCAGTTCAATAACATATACAAAAAGTAATGTGTGGCTTTTTTGGTTTAAGAAGAATCTGTAATTAAAAGGCGTGTAGATCAATATTTTGATCAATTACAAACTATTAACTTTAGCTACTTGTCAGATAAGATCAAATGTATTGATATCACACTTGATATTATTGAGTGGTACACACAGTAGAAGAACAAGAACGTGCACATAAATGACTTTTAAAAACGACAATACATAAAACATTATTGGAATTTCCTATAAACAAAATGAAGCTTAAAAAACTAAAACCTTAGAGCTGAAGCAATTAGTAGATTATCTGAAAGTAATCAACATTATTTATAATTGATTAATCTTTGAATAAACAATAAAACAACTTTTTTTTGCTTTTCCAATGTGGGGAGTTGCTATTTCTCTTTGCCTAATGTGAATAATTATTGATTCAGCTATTAAGAATTAAATTCACAATAGCACCTACTGGAATAAAATAAGCTGGTAAAGTGTTGTGTCTGCACATTGCAGTGTATCCAGGGTCTGTCCTGTCACTTAAATTTAAGCACATTCATCAAAGTGGATTATCAATCACAATTATCTGTTAATCTTATTCTGTAATTTATTTCAGAAGCTTTCCTGTCATAATAACTACTAAAGTGAAGCCGCATCTGTTTGATCCGTCACTTTTATCTCTTACTTTCTTGTACAAGCACGCACACATTGTATTTGTTTTGCTTACATTTTTGGCTGGCCTACATTCAGTCCTCTCTCTACAACTATGTATGAAATTAAACACTCAGTAACTAATGCTGTAGATCAGTCAGAGGTTTAAAAAAACAAAACAAGCTCTGATTTCCAACAAAATGATTTTGTTAGTTTCTGATATTTGATCATTTTAGATAAGTTTAGACGTTTTTGAAAAGTAGTTCTGCTTTTAATGGTTGTCATTCGGTACTTTATGTGTCCTGAAAATTGGCTAATTTCACAGCAACAAGCTCTGATAGAGAACAAGGTGTAGTCTGTCCCGGGCCTCCCTCTTCGCTATGTTTTTCTCTTTCTTGCTCCCTCTCTCTGGTGTTCACTTCGCCTCAGATTGACCTTCAGTTGTCCCGGGGGAGGTTATGTTCAGTTCGATACTGAGGACTTCTTCTGCTCTGTCCAGCAGACAGCATGGATGAGTGGAGCCAGACAGACAATCTTCCCG